CGCTGCACTTATGAACTTTAATATGCATTATACAGAGGCAAGATGAAAAGAAAAAATACTATCTAAACTTTTCTAAAGACAGTAAGTTCCCCTCAGACATGCATTCATATAAACTCCTACCCCTAATTGAATCGCGATTTGTTTAGCATCTCAACCGATTTGAATCGTCACATATTTTCTACCGGCTGGCGGTTAATCGTTACAAACCTACTTACAAGCTTACTTTTTTCAAATAACATTCACTTGAGATTTAATCAGATAAATAGCAGCCATTACAACTTTTAGACATTTTCTAGTCATCCTCGTCTGCTTTTAGGGAAATCATTATAAGTCATTATATTTTTGTTTGGCAACGTTGAGAAAACGCAAACTGTAGCTGCATTAAGAGAGAACGGAAGCTTCCGCCAACCACTTGCATCAGCAGTGCACTGAACAAACGCATATGCGGTAATCCTACTATGGTTAGAGCCCACCTACCAACGTCTGCCTTTCAGAAAATGAGTTATGAATGTACTGGCCAAACATTACATCACCCAATTAAAATTCATGAGCCGGCTGTTAAGGTTTAGAATGTCTCCCTTCACATTTCAGATGCTTCCTACATCCCTGAATTCAATCGCACTTACAAATGATTGTTTTAGGAATAAGACTACATTCACACATGCTCACTAGATCCTTTTTATAGTTTATCGTTTTAAGGGAGTTGCTCACCATCAAAAAATGGAAATTTGCTTAATATTTACTCACCCTCAGGCCAAACAAGATGTAGATGGGTTTGTTTCTTCATCAGAACAGATTTGGAGAAATTTAGCATTGCATCACTTGCTTACCTCTGCAGTGAATGGGTGCCGTCAGAATGAGAGTGCAAACAGCTGATAAAAACATCACAATAATCCACACCACTCCAGTCCATCGATTAATGTCTTGTGAAGCAAAAAGCTGCGTGTTTATAAGAAACAAATTCATTATTAAGACGTTTTTAACTTTAAACTGTTGCTTCCAGCTAAAATGCATGTCCTCTATCCATAATATTACTTTTTACAATGAGCTTGGATTTTCTTCACAGGAGGAAGCGTTATTATAGATTATGGACTACAAGCAATGGTTTAAAAATAAAACGACTAAATGATGGATTTGTTTCTTTGTCTTGCTTCACAAGTCAATAATTGATGGACTGGAGTGGTGTGGATTATTGTGATGTTTTTATCAGCTGTTCAGACTCTCATTCTGACGGCACCCATTCACTGCAGAGGATCCATTGGTGAGCAAGTGATGCAATGCTACATTTCTCCAAATCTGTTCCGATCAAGAAACAAACTCATTTACATCTTGGGTGGCCTGATGGTGAGTACATTTTCAGCGAATTTTCATTTTTGGGTGAACTATTCCATTAATTCTGACAATTAACAAGAGCTCTTACTTGTGACAAAACCAGAAAAGGCCCAGTTGATCCATCCTCCAATCAGAATCATTGGCAGCACATTGGTCAGATTCCCCTTCATCATGTCCATCAACGTGCTGGGGTCTGGGACCGGTTTTCAGGCATAGTTATTGCAGATCTTATAATTATAATATAGTAGATCATTTCTTCTATGCTTAGGATGTTAAAGTAGCTCTTACCGGTCATGGGGTTTTTGGGGATCACCTTTCTTTTGACCTTCTTGAAGAATCCAGTCTCAGGGTTGTTGAAATAGTGTTTTCTCATGGCAAATGACTGAAATGAGACAGCGTCATTGATCAGTGACACAACCATGTGAATGGAGTTTTATAAGTTTATTCCATGCAAATATCCTGGGAACTGTAATTCATGAAGTAATTAATACCTGTTTGGGAAGATATTTTCCATTTTCTCTCAGGATGCGGCTGCGCAGCAACACCTGGCTGTGATTTAAAACTAATTAATACGGATAAATGTATATGCATTCACAAAATACATTTACAATGATTATGTATGAACTGCAGCAGTTGCAATTCTAAAATATTATTCCCTTAAAATATTTCCTGAAGCTCCAAGTAATTAAACTCTTAAGAAGAACTTGCCTAGGATTTAATACTTTTTCAGGAAATAAGACGGATTTCCATATATTGTAATTGGGACAAATTTAAAAGATCTGATGATCAGGTTTGGGCAAAATTGAGGAATTTAGGAAATGTCTCCTTTTCAATTCAGAGGATTTTGCATAATTAATTATACGTTGACTCCCTGATATGCAGAATACATATTTGCATACAGTATTTCTAAACAATAATGTTCAATACTGCCAATATAATTCACTCGGCAATCAAAACTTATTTTAATTTTGCCAAGACAACTTTATAAAGATAAATACTGACAACTTTTTTTAAAAATTCAAATCAATTATAAATTTTTAGTACATTTTTTTTGTGTTGAATATAATTAAACAATTGAATAGATGGAATTTAATTCATCAATATTCTGCCAAGACAAACTATGTAAAGATAAATACTGATATATTTTTTTGAAGTTAATTATTATTTTTTATTAAAATGAAGTATTGAATATAATGGAATTTTATTAATGTTTTTTAACATTATTAATTTTTTGCTATCTTTTTTTAATAGAATTACAGTATTCTACATATTGTGAGTTTGATAACATGAATTAGTCATCTCACCTGTCAGACACCTGCTGCAGATCCACTTTCTTGTCGTTATGAATCAGCTGAGTGATGTAATGCCGCAAAACTCCGACGAAGAATGTGATGAAGACTATGGGCAAAACAACCCACAGGCGAATACTGGAGTCTAGCAGCAGCTCTGGGCCTGCCATTCCTACACCAAAACTATCCTTTACAACTATCTGTACTCAAAACGCTGACACTTTTAAAGTTTATTATAATGCTCAAATTACGACAAAGTGAAAAGTCAAAGTATGGTAAAACTACTGCACTTTTATACTACAGTAACGGCGCATTGCTGCGTGAACATGCGCCATATGCGCAGCTGCTTTTTGACCTTTGAACTAGTAGTGAGGTCCGATTCGTGAACGAGTCGTTCTATTGAGTCGGATCTTTTAATGAAACTGTTAAACCGATTCACTAAACAGTCTGAATGATTCAAATGCGAATTGGACCGAATCAGTCTGTGCGCCACTCAAATGAATATGACTTTACTGAAGGAAAAATATGTATTATTGATTTGCTTTTGTTATTACGGAAATTTTATATTCGTCAAACTAAATGGAGTAACTAAAAACTCAATTTTGCTCATTTTCAAACAGCCTTTAAAGTTTATTTAGAATTTGTCAAATAAAAAATAAAAAAATCGAAAAGCCCAAAGAACGGTCTCTGCTGAATTTAACATGTTTGTGATGCCCATTAATTTTTTATTTCTCTTTTAACTTATATTTTCTATTTTATTTAAATTGTTTCCATTTATACTTACAAAATGTGTAAATGTGAGAAATATGTCAAGAACTTGCTGTTGAATTCTGTAATTTTGAAAGTTCAATAAAAAAAAGAGTCATCATTGAACCGAGTCTCTTTTGAACATGACAGTTTTAATAACACATATACACGAAATAGAGATAGTTTAAATAATAGTGAGTAATGTGTGCATAATACCTTTAGTCAAACGTTTCAAACATGTAATATACCATTCGAAGATGTCTGGGATCAAGTCATAACGTAAAAAAAAAAAACACTTTTTAACGCGTTCCTTGAGACCATAAAGACTGTATAAAAACAGACGAACTGTTTCAAAGAACCGATTCGCAGAAATGAGTCGCATGTCCCATCACTACTTTGAACTATGACATATTTACATATTCACTTATGTTTTATTATGTGTTTATTTTTTTTTATCACTAACCGATAGGTAAAAGTATAGCTAATATATGAAATATATATATTTTATTAAAAAAAAGTAGCTGACGCCATTTCCGGTTTCGAAGACGTTTCCGTGTGTATCTTGTAAACAAGTAGGGAGCCACGTGACAGGCTGAAGGAAGGTTTAGCTTCACACAGTCGAGCATTTTCTATTGAAACAAATTCGTTTGTCAGCTGCAAGCTTTTTACCGCTGCACCAGCCCAGCGAAGGGGCTGTCGATCTCTGATGCACGTTAATATTAGAAACATTGACTACGATTAAAATAAATATCGCTGTATTATAGTCGTTCTGCAACCATCTTTTTTCATATCATGACTCCTGGGGCGCCCGTTATTAATGAAAAAGTCTTGCAGTATGAGATATTTATCAATGAAGTATTGAAACGAGACTTACAGTAAGTATCATCGCTTGATTTTTAGCTTTGGTGGAACAGCTGCAATAGCAATGCTTTTTTGTTTGTACCATGGTAATCCCGTGATTTCTTTAAATATGTACTATCGTAATACCATGGTATTATTTGAAGTACCATTGAGTTCCACATAAATGCCCATTTTACATGATAACGTATATGTATATGTTAATCTCTCTCTCTCTCTCTATATATATATATACAGTGGGTACGGAAAGTATTCAGACCCCCTTAAATTTTTCAATCTTTGTTATATTGCAGCCATTTGCTAAAATCATTTAAGTTAATTTTTTTTTCCTCATTAATGTACACACAGCACCCCATATTGACAGAAAAACACAGAATTGTTGACATCTTTGCAGATTTATTAAAAAAGAAAAACTGAAACATCACATGGTCCTAAGTATTCAGACCCCTTGCTCAGTATTTAGTAGAAGCACCCTTTTGATCTAATACAGCCATGAGTCTTTTTGGGAAAGATACAACAAGTTTTTCACACCTGGATTTGGCGATCCTCTGCCATTCCTCCTTGCAGATCCTCTCCAGTTCTGTCAGGTTGGACGGTAAACGTTGGTGGACAGCCATTTTTAGGTCTCTCCAGAGATGCTCAACTGGGTTTAAGTCAGGGCTCTGGCTGAGCCATTCAAGAACAGTCACAGAGTTGTTGTGAAGCCACTCCTTCGTTATTTTAGCTGTGTGCTTAGGGTCATTGTCTTGTTGGAAGGTAAACCTTAGTTCCAGTCTGAGGTCCTGAGCACTCTGGTAACACACTACGCCACAATGGACTGAAATCCTGCAGCGCCCGCAAGACCCCCCTGCTCAAGAAGGCACATGTACAGGCCCGTTTAAAGTTTTCCAAAGAACATGTAAATGATTCGGAGAAGGCTTGGGAGAAAGAGCTGGGGTCAGATGAGACCAAAATTGAGCTCTTTGGCATTAACTCGACTCGCCGTGTTTGGAGGGAGAGAAATGCTGACTATGACCCCAAGAACACCATCCCTACAGTCAAGCACGGAGGGGGAAACATTATGCTTTGGGGCTGTTTTTTATGCTAAGGGTACAGGATGACTTCACCGCATAGAGGGGCGGTCCCAACTGCCTTAAGATTATTAACAAGCTCCTCCCGTGTAGTTCGGGGCTGATCCCTCACCTTTCTCATGATCATCCTTACCCCATGAGGCGAGATCTTGCGCGGAGCTCCAGACCGAGGCCGATTGATGGTTATTTTGTATTTCTTCCATTTCCGATTAATCGCCCCAACAGTTGTCTCCTTCTCACCAAGCTTCTTGCTGATGGTCTTGTAGCCCATTCAAGCCTTGTGCAGATCTACAATCTTGTCTCTGACATCCTTTGACAGCTCTTTGGTCTTGCCCGTGGTGGTGGGAGAGGTTGGAATGGAAGATACAGATTGTGTGGACAGGTGTCTTTTATTCACCTAACGTGCTGACATTAGGAGTAACTTCTTAAAGTGGCAGGACTAATCTGTGTTCCACATGGGCACATAACCAGTCTGTGGGAGACAGAATTCTTGCTGGTTGGTAGGGGATCAAATACTTATTTCACTCACTGAAATGCAAATCGATTTCTAACCTTTATATAATGTTTTTTTTTTTTTCTGGAATTTTTGATATTCTGTCTCTATACGTTAAAATAAACCTACCATAAAAATTACAGAAACAAAAATTATTTAAAAAAATATTTTTTTTGTAAGTGGGCAAACAAATTTTCCCCACTGTATGTATGTGTGTGTGTGTGCGTATATATATACAGTGGGTACGGAAAGTATTCAGACCCCCTTAAATTTTTCACTCTTTGTTATATTGCAGCCATTTGCTAAAATCATTTAAGTTAATTTTTTTTCCTCATTAATGTACACACAGCACCCCATACATATAATAAATCTGCAAAAATGTCAACAATTCTGTGTTTTTCTGTCAATATGGGGTGCTGTGTGTACATTAATGAGGAAAAAAAATTAACTTAAATGATTTTAGCAAATGGCTGCAATATAACAAAGAGTGAAAAATTTAAGGGGGTCTGAATACTTTCCGTACCCACTGTATATAGATACAGATATAGATATAGATAGATAGATAAATTAAATTATTTGCTACTATTTTAACTCTGTGCTCTGACAGGAAAGTATTGGAGCAAAGAGATGCTGTGTATGAGAAAATAGCACAATACCTTCAGCTGAAGAATACAATTAAAAGCATTCAGGTATTTTATCTACTAAACCATATTTTGTTTTTTGTTTTCTTTGCTATGTAACCTTGCCTGTCTCTATTTTCATTTGTTACTCCCTGTCTCTGTCGTTTTCTTGCTCTCATTCTGTATTGAGTGATGTGTATAATATGTTGCTTTTGCTATATTTTATTCATCTTTAGGAAACTGACAGCAAGGAGCTCAAAACAGATGTTGACCTTGGCTGCAATTTCTATGTGCAGGCTCACGTGTAAGTATTGCAAGTCTGATGTCTGTGTACTGTGCGTCAATGCCTCTGTCTAACATTTTAAAAGTCAAACTCATGAAGGATTCATTCCTTTTTAGACCTGATGCATCAAAAATATATGTGGCAGTTGGATTTGGATTCTTTGTCGAATTCACACATGCAGAGGCTTTGAAGTTCATAGAAAAGAAGACGAATCAGCTAACGGAGTAAGAGATCATTTGGTTTTATCTTTTGGTTTTTGATTGTTTTGAAATGTGCATGTTTGCCGTTTTTTATTGTTACCTTGAGATGTTCAGATGTTCATCATTATTTGAATATTTCAGGTGTACTGAGGTCCTTACCAAAGATGCAGCAAAGATAAAGGCCAACATCCGCATGGTTCTGGAGGTACAAATCATTAGTTTACTTGCTTGTCGTTTATTTTTACATTTTTTACAAAATATTGTGATGCTTAAAAAAAAATCTGTTTTCATAGGGATTGAGGGAATTACAAGGTCTGAAAGATCTTCCAGAGGCCAGAAGGAGAGAGGTGTTTTAGTACAGTACACCAATCACAGCACAGTGTATTTAATTTGCACATGACTGTAATGTTTGTTTCAAACAATGTGAATTTTATGGCAGTCCATTTTAGAGGAAAATTGCCTTTTAACAGGTTATACTGTTGTTTTGAAAATTTTGCTGAATAAATTGTAACATTTTCAGTACCAACCATCAGTGGCATTGTGATCATTTTAAATAACTATATCACTGTACACACAATACATTAACACATCGCCTTTTTAAACCTTCATATAACATTAGACAGTCTATATGAAATATGAATATGTAAGAGGCTTCTCTTGATTAGACATATCAAGCAAATTATTAATGAGATTGTATCATTGTAAATAAAGTCGTGTGATTTTTAACTGGCTCATAAATTTTTATTTTCATAAAACAAGACTTCTTACAGAAATAAGAATTCTACCATTAATTTAATTGATTTCAGCAAGCCACAAAATTACACTATGAAGCCAATCTTTCTAAAAATGAAAATATAAATGTGTTGGAAAAAATTAAAATGTGAGTACGGATTGATTCTGGAATAAAAACTTTAGCTCAGAATCAATCTACTGTAATTGAAAATAATCTACAAATAATAAGAACACAAACTATGTATAGATTACCCTGTTCACATAATCAGTTCTTCATCCTTTCTACAAGTATGGCATTCGATAAAATGCTTTCAAACTGTATGTGTGCTTCCTTTGGGATTCAAGATTGCACCTTCAATGAATTGCGTGGCAATTAATCGATCATTAATGGCACTTCTAGTTTAGCTGTTCTGATTGATGAAGACAGTGGTTAATTTAAAGTTTCTGCAGCATCCGTGTGATGGCTACTCTGTCACACTAGTAACAGTTGCCATGGAAACTGGATGTTGAATTGTGGCAGCACTGTAAGACTTGGTTCCTGAAATAGATTATTTTTCTTTGTACAAAGACTCACTGCCGCATTTGGGCACAATGACACACTATACAATCATTATAATGTGACATTGTCAGCACTGGCTATGGAATTACAGATTTTACATTTTTAAATTATATATAATTCAGGATTTCGATGGAACTTTCCAATGCATCAAATAAAGGATTGTTTATGCTTCCTGTATTATTCTATTACATATGCACTATGCATGCTTGACATTATTTTGATTATACACTATGCCAGGGGTTTTCAATCTTTTAGATGCCACAGACCCCCAAATATGATCATCTTCGTGCGAGGGACCCCAATTTTAAAATTGAAATGCAGCTATATGCTTTTCTGTAGAAAGATCCCATTTGTACTGTAAAAAATGTGTAAAATATATTTAGCATTATTACATTTTTATGATTATTATAGTACAGTAGTTAAAGTTTTTTTTATCCGCTAAAAAAATCTATTTAATATTTTTTTTTTTTGATTATTTTTGAAATGTATCTAATTATTTTTTTTATTTATTTATTTAATTTGTACATAGTTTTTCTCTAAACTTTTCCACGAACAAGCCCCCCCCCCGCTTGTCAGTGTGTGTCTTGAGAGAATTTCACTCGACCTTGGTGCTGAATAAAAACCTCTCTCTTCACTAGAAGACAGCAAGACACAAAAGTTTGTCCTCTTTCATTCATTTTGCTCTACAGCCGACCCACGTGATGCCTGTGCGGTGACGTCACGGCCGCACAGGGGACTCGCGGACCAAAGAGGTGGAGTAAAAAAAAAAAAGAAACAAGTAGTCGTAGTCGTAGTCGTAGTCGAGGCGTTCGTGGAAACAGGAAGCAAAGAGGGGGAAAGCCAAGCAGAGGTTGTTGTTACAAAAAAAATTAAGAAGGGAGCGCTCTGTCTTTTCCCTCCCAGCTATTTTGAGCTCTTTAAACTAACAGTGCAGCCGCGGACTTTCAGTCCGTTGCTTGGACACGGCTGAAGGAGAGAAGCTCGCGCGCTTCGCGGACCAACGGCTACCTGATCAGGGGTGTCGGTTTATTTGCCCTCCCTCACCGTCCACCACACTGGAATTAACCCCACCTTACTGATACCGTATTATTTTAAAGGCAGGGCGTGCCATTCCACCTTTTAAACGCGGCCCTGGTTGTTTTACTGGAGTATTTTGGCGTTTGAAGAAGTCTTCAGTCTGTCTGACAGGAACGGTGCAAGCGCAGGCAGCCTGAGCTAACGCGAGCTAGCGACTTAGCTGCTAATGTCAACTAACATGGAGGGAGAGGTGCATGTGTTACATAACAACCAAACGCAATTAAATCACCGACTTTTGACACCCAGCAAGCACAGTTATGGACGTGAATTAATCTCCAAAGAATAAAACGGCCCATAAACACATTTATTTGGCAGAGATGGAGTCGAACCCGCTGATCAGCGGTAAGTTGTATTCCACTTCAAGGAGGTTGGACATGAAGGAGTGATTGCATTCGAGTTGAATAAAGTGCTCGTTAGTCAAAGCCAAATGCATTTACAACTCGCTCTGTTATATTCACATTTCATTTGTACACGATGCCTAATCCTGGCGTAAGCCAGAACGTTATGTTTAAATCAGTGTGATGGTCCAAAAACTATTAAGAGACCGTATAAATGAGTGGTATTGACACTTTATTTTGGTCAGGGTGGGTTAACAAAACCTGTAGGAAGCCTGATGCACTTCAACTGTGTTTGAGTAAATGTTTTGCAAGCCAAATGTCTGGCAGTGTGTCCACATGCTGCTGTTTCGGAATGAAATAGAATGTTTGGCAGACTTGTTTGCCTCCTGGTTATTTCTGATCTAATCAACCATTAAACGAATATAATTTTAACAGAATAACATTTGATTGTTTTATTGTGCATTAAATATTTAGATTTTGAGTGTCAGAGCTGTCAAACAAGCTAGTTTGAGGGTGGATGTTTGTTCTTGTATTTGGAAAGAAGGTTTATAAATAAAACCTAATAAATGATTTATTTAATTATAAATAAGTTATTATCATTACTATTATTATTCACTCCATTTTGTATAATGTCAACAAGCCCTTTATAATTACTCTGAAAACTTTGATTCAAGTGCATAAGAACTTGTTTGAATTGAACATGATTGTGCAATGCATATGTCAGCATTTCTTTACTTTGTGTAAAAGAAACCAATGTCATCTGATATTAACCAGCAGACCTCATGTAAACCCAGAGAATCTGGGTGAACACATTGATGACCCATCATGAACTGTCCTGAGCCCCATTTAATGCAAGTGTATGTGTTTATTAGGGATTTGTTTGGTAATTTAGCACTGGATTCATTCTGCTCACATCACAGTCCTGTCTGGCTCTCTCTTCCTTTGGGATTGCAATTCATTCATTGGCTATAAGTCATCATGCAGTCTGAGAACTCAAGATAATTGACTATTGAGCATTGAGGTCCCCGAACAACCTTAAGGCAATAAGGTCTGATGGGGAAAAACAGATCTGTGTTGTTCAGTGCCGGTCTTTGTTTGCTTTTCTCAGATGTACAGGCTGATTTATGAGGCATTAGACCAAGGCAAGCTGTGCAGTGTTAGTCCCTTGATTAGTCATACTGGAGCTCTTCAGCTAGAATGTAACACTGCAAGGAAAATTATAGGGAATAATTAACGTGTAAATAAGAAAATGTGCATCTGATTCTTTGGTTCTGGTTTCACTATGACATTTTTATCTTAATACGTTGATCCTTTGGTTATTTTAATCAGTATATTCTGATGCCAATTTTTTTTTTTTATAAATCACTGTAGTATATGTTATTTTTATGAAAGCTTCGATGTGTTATTGTGCTGTTGGGGAAATCAGAAGCTGTTTGTTTTATTGGCCTGAACAGTTCAGTAGATTCTGCTGTTACGGCTGCCTTTGAAACACTTAAAGGGGTCATATCATATGATGCTGCTAAAAAGAACAGTATTTTGTGTATTTGGTGTAATGAAATGTGTTTATGCGGTTTAAGGTTCAAAAAACATTATTTTCCACATACTGTACATTATTGTTTCTCCTCTATGCCCCGCCTTTCTGAAACGCGTAGATTTTTACAAAGCTCATCGGTCTGAAAAAGCGAGGTGTGCTGTGATTGACCAGCTATCCAGTGCAAAGAATATCTCTTTGGATTTGAGACTTTAGTCTTTGCAACTTTACAGATCTTCTTTATGCACCAAGAGCTTGTAACACTCCAAAGAGAAAGGAAAAATTGAAATCGCATCATATGACCCCTTTAATAATAAAAAAAAACATAATTTATTATACTGCTACATTACAGAGGAGATGTTACTTATTTTTTCAAACCGTTGACTTTGCTTTCTCAATGGCTGTTTATTTAGGTAAAGACCTATAATAAAATGGTCTGTTATGGAAAATCTATAGGCTAGTATTTTCTAATCCACTGTTTTAATAAAACTCTGTACTTCAAAACTAAAACCAGTCATTCTTGTCAATGTTGTGATGATGAAGTGAATTTTTTGACATCACAATATTGTAATGTACAGTATAAAATATAGGTAACTATTAATTTTCAATCTGAATAGTTTATAAAAACATTGAATTGTGGAGATAAGAAGTTGCTATAATAGAGGTAGGACATGTATAAAAAAGTACTTTAAAGGCTGTTAAATATTTTTTGTAATCTAATACTGTTTTTAAGTTCAGATGTTTAAAGGAATTAGGGCTGTGCGATTAATCGAAATCGTCATAAAATCGCGATTTGAGCATGCGCGATTTCTAAATCGCTTTATAGCACGATTTTCCGCGCCCCCGACCTCCTGCAGTATGCTATCCGAACCAATCAGAATGCAGCGCGCCTAAATGGAGCACGAGAACAGAACAGACCGGGCGGGCATACAAACGGAACGCCAGGTAAAAGAGTCTATTTCTGCTGTGCTGCACACGCTAAATTAAAGTGACAGCACATTATTCGAGGTAAAAAATAACATGGATTGACACTGAAATGTAGTAATTACACCATAAATGCATATAATTAAAGTCACAGTCAGCACATGGCTTTTTGGCTAGATTTAAAACAAGGAAAAGTGCACTTTTAGATAAGGCAATAATAGATGGCACTCGTGGAGGAAGGAAAACAAAGTTATATTTATTGAGTTTAAATGTGAATATGTCTATGAAAGATTGTATTACTGTACTGTGATAAAAGAGAATCACAATGCTGAAAAAGCATTTTCAGAAACTTTGAAATCAAAATAATGGAATATTTTGTGTTTGTGGTAAACAAATCTATTTCAACATCTGAGGCAACGCCACAAAGAGCTCTATTACCAATGGCAAAAAAATCCCTGGACATGGGATTTATTTATTTATATGTCTGTTCTAGAGACATGTTACAGCTTTTTGATAAAGCTCTAATTGGTTTTCTTTTGGAAATATGTTTTAAATTCACACAATGCATTTATGACTGTAAAGCATGTCTCTGTGTGTCAAAATCGTGATCAAAATCGAAATAGCAAAATTGATCAAAGAAATCGTGATAGGTTTTTTTTGTCCATATCTCACAGCCCTAAAAGGAATCTGAAATCTAAAATGTCCAATGTTGATCAATATCATTCAGTAAAACAGTTATTGATCTTCTTAACGGGTATAGACCTGATATTATTGTTCATCTATAGAAAATGAAATTTTGCTCAGATTTTTGTGTTCATTTTACAGTGTAGTTGCAGTTGCACAAGTACTTAAGTAATTTTGGTATATTTCCTTATATGTTTATTACTAGGCATATTTTTGAATTGGTTTAATGCATTTTTAATAGGGATGTAATGATTCACTCAACTCACGATTTGATTCGATTCATGATTTTCATTTCATGATTCGATTCACTTTTTTTTTTTTTTTACAAAATGAGATTTAAGACAAATTATAAATAATGCAGATTCATGCTCTGCCAGCAGGTGGCGCTTAATGCGTTTCCCTGGTTTCCGCTGTAAACAAAGCAGCGCTGCACTTATGAACTTTAATATGCATTATGCAGAAGCAAGAGGAAAAGAAAAAATACCATCTAAACTTTTCTAAAAACAGTAAGTTCCCCTCAGACATACATTCATATAAACTCCTGCCCCTAATTGAATCACGATTTGTTTAGCATCTCAACCGATTTGAATCTTCACATATTTAAATCGATTTTCAACTGGCTCGCGGTTAATCGTTACATCCCTAATTTTTTATGAATCTCGTCATATTGATTGCTTAAAAATAACAAGATATGTATTCAGGCAAATCTCAAATGTAATATTTTGTGGATGATTAACATTCAGAGTTACTCTCTTTTCGCTGTTATTGGTCAAAAGACTTTCAATCCCTGATTTGTTCTTTATTTGAAGAAAATGCCAACTGCTAATAGTCTACATGTTCTCAATGCATAATTACTGTATGTATATCTAGTCGGAACATTAATGGAAAGTGTTACAGAGATGTCTTCAGAAAAAAATTTTTTGTCAGCCTGTATGGAAATGAGTAATTTCAGCAGTTTGGGGGTCTTGCAGTGAGATGTTGGTTTGATGAGTAAGTGTGTATAATGTGCTAAGAGGACAATATGACATCTAAATCCTGAACTACAGCTTTGTAAAACCCTCTGTTTGCCTTAGTGTGTGTAGCTGTACAGGCTGCCCACAGGATATTCTTTTAGAATGACACAATTTTTTAAAGGGGTCATATGATGTTGCTAAAAAGAACATTATTTTGTGTATTTGGTGTAATGAAATGTGTTTATGCGGTTTAAAGTTAAAAAAACACATTATTTTCCACATACTGTACATTATTGTTTCTCCTCTATGCCCCGCCTTTCTGAAACGAGTCGATTTTTACAAAGCTCATCGGTCTGAAAAGCGAGGTGTGCTCTGATTAGCCAGCTATCCAGTGCATTGTGATTGGCCAAATACCTCAAGCGTGTGACAGAAATGTTACATCCCTTACCATATTGTGATGCCGTGTCCCGGAGCGACTAGACAAAACCAATAAAACCCATTATAAACGAGGCATTTGTTTTACTGCTAATGAATGCACTCACTCAGCTCGTTTTAATGATTGTATAAATTAATGAGATTTTATGTGCTGGGTTAAAATGAAAACAGTTCCCTTCATTGTCATCAGCAATTCACTGCAATTTATTTGCTTCAGTGTGCTTAAAGGGTGGTGGGGTATTTTTTATTCCTTAGAAACTGTTGCTTAAATGCTTTTATCATGGTGATCGTTTCTAAGGTGTTGCTTATGAGTTACGTAAATGAAGGGGGGGGGGGGGGGG